GCTTCTTCTCCTTCAGTTTCTCAATTGTGTCTTTATCATCCCTAAGATCAAGTTTAGTTCCCACTAGGATGATAGGAGTGTTGGGACAATGGTGTCGCACTTCCGGATACCACTAGATGTGAAAAGAACAAAGTCTGTACCATTCTCCTCCACAGATGACCTAAATTACAACTAAGGTGCCAAACTGTGCCAACCACCCCACTTCAGCTGCTGCCTGTCCTTCACACCTTCCAGCTCAGCCTGAAAGAACTGYAAGAAATAATCCTAGCAAGCCAGGACTCCTGTGATTAAGGAAAAAAATCAGAGGAAATCACTTTATTTGGGGGAAAACATCCAATTCTTAGGATTATCTCAGAAAATTCATCACCTGTTCAGGGATAAAAATACACAAACTACCTAGTGGAGTACTCTGGCTCTGCCACCATTGCCCACCCTGAAAATGTCCGATTATTACAACAAAAAGGTCTCTCTCCCTCCTGTTTGACTACATTGACAAAGATGAAGCAAAAAGAAATGGTCATTAGACTGACTCCAAAGATGTTCTTTATTTTCTGAATGAGACCTGAAGCTTTAGAAATCTATATCCTAAAGGCATTGCTTAAAAACTGATTATGGGACTAAGGATATAGCTCAGTTGGTTAGTGCTTGTCTCACATGCACAAAGCCCTGGATTCAATCCCCAGCACCACAAAGAAATAATAATAATAAACCTGATAAAGTTCCCAAGAAATAAAATCACTAAGACCAATTTGAATAACTGAAAATTCATAGCACTGAATGATTTTTTTTATTGTTCCTTCCAATATTTAAAAGAAATAAGCATTACATGCCTATAATCCTAGCTGCTCAGGAGACTGAGGCATGAGGATTACAAGTTGGACACCAGCCATAGCAACTTRGTGAGATCCTGTCTCAAAATTTAAAAACTAAAGGGCTAGGGAGGTAAATTTAGTAGTAAAGCACCCCTGGATTCAATCCTCAATACCAAAAGAAAAAACAAAACAAAATCCTACTTACCTTTGCACGGACATTTTCAAATGATGCAGGACTCACAAGGGAAAAGCAAATTAAGAAAACATCCTATAAAAAGGAAACAGGAAAGCATTCAGAAAACAACCTTAAAATGAGGAAGGTGATTTGCTTCCTAAAGGCTGCTGGGAATGAGTCATTGGGTGCGGTGCTTACTGGTACCAGCAGCTGATGTCAGAGGCCAGCTCCCCCCACTCACCCCACCAGTCTGTCAGACGACTCCCAAATCATAACCAGCACATCAAGCAACTAGTGAATTATGAGAAAGGAAGGGAGAAGGAAAATACTGAAAGCTGTTGGAGGCTGGGAAAGCATCAAATCAGACCCCCAGGGGGCCTCTTTTCCCTAACTCTCAACTGGAGACCTAATTATCTGTTATAAACAGGCAAAAAATGTACAGTAGTGCTCTTCCAATACTTCTGTAAAATATGATCTCTCAGTTTCCCAAAAGCAGAGTCAATTTTAAAAACATTAGCTACAAACAATATGCTTTTCATTAAGTTTTCTAATTGCAGGTTAAGTACAAACATTTTTAGATTATTACTGAGTTCCAATTAAACTGCTGTCACAGTCCCTGGCCACAAAATAGTGGCTGGCTTATTTGCTGTCCCCACCCTTCGCTCTCCAACAAAGGGTAATTTAAATGTGGAAGTAACATCTTCCTAGCTGAGAACCACCTAGATACAGTCACAGACTCTCAAGCACAATCAGGGCCTCTGGAGAACTTGCCCCCAGGGCAGCTGTTGCTAAATAGAGATGCAAAGGAAAAGCTGCGCAGAGTAAATACTTGAAGAGAATTGCTGGTTAAACAGAAAATATTTGACTTTTTCTTCCCATCTAATACTACACATAATGTAAAATTCAAATATTTACCTGTATAAAAAATGCCCAAGAGTTTCTAAAATGCTAGGATTATAAAACATATCCCTAGAAAAACGCAATTATGCTGCTTTTGAAATGCATACAATTCCCAAGCTAGCACTTTAAACCATCCAGCTGGTTATCTKGTACCTGAAAAGGAAAGAAACATCCCATACAACAGCTTTTTTATGAATAACATTGTTTAAATACTGGCTCATGCACAAGCTTGTCCAAGAATCACCAGGGCACCCCAGCATCCAAGTTGATTGCAACCATCTCAAAGCATGAGTGGGTTAGCTCACCAGTGCCGCACAGCCACCCAGACAGCCCACCACACAGGACAACACAGCAAAGAGAGAATGCTCTGGCAGCAAGGTTAGTCCTGCCCAGGCTCAACATGAAGCCACCCCTGTGAGCTCCCAGGTGGATTCTCACACCACCTCCTCTAATCAGCCCAGAAGGGGCCCTCTCACAAACCCTTCCTTGCACTTGGAAGGAGGGAAGCAAGCAGTTCAAAAACTGCTTCAATCAAGCTGGTAGGTGACCTGTCACGCTCCAATGAAAGCTTTTTTTCATCAAGCAAAACCTCACCTTGAGTGAATTACAAACAAAACACTCAAGGAACTTGAGGTTCAATAAGAATTCCTAGGAAAACTAAGTGAAATGAGAGAAGAGATAAAGCTTGAGGCTTAAGTCGATTGAAAGTCTTACATACGGCAATCGGCTTGTCTTTGCCCCTGGACGTTATATCCTTACCATACGTGTCTCCAACCTAGTAACGTATGAGAACTTTGTTTGAGTTCAGTACAAACTGAAGAAAAATTAAAAAAAAAAAAAAAAAATCAACGTAACCTGTTATTTATTCTTTATCAGAATTTCAGCTCAACCCTCCTGAGGGATCCAAAAGCATTTAATAACCTAAGACATCTTTGATGCCAAACACCACTGAATCATTCAATGAAACCTGGCCAAAGGTTTCATTCCATCAGTGCAGTTCAACAATGGTCAAGTCAGACAAAACAACTGGGGTGCCACAAAGGTGTTCCTTCTACCTGTAGAGCACACACCAGAATTTAACACATTCCCATGCAGCTGGAAATGTTAGCAAGTGTCCCCTAACATAAAGGCCTGCTCATGTGCTGTCACTGGCATAAGTCAGCAACAGGCACTTCTTCAAAGAGCTGCATGCAAGTTCTTACAGACAAGTCCTGCAGAAGCCTGAATACAGAAAAGGCACCTGCCTGTGAAACATGCCTAATAGACCAGACTTGAGGGTTTTTCCAGGACACAGCCAGAGTTGAGAGCTGACAATTCTAACACTGAACACTAAAAGCTCCTGTGCAGAGCTGTGTTCCTGTCTTCCTCCTAGTTCTGTGTGTAGTTTGGATTTAGACTTGTATTACTGAAATGAACAATGCGGTTCAAAGTAAGACTCAATTCCAAGCCCCACTATGGATTTGGTGAGGTTGTTCCTTAGAGACAAAAGTTAACATTTCCAGTGTTTACCACAATGCTTTTAATTCACTTCTTTGCTTCAAATAAAAATCAATAGACTTATTCTTTCAACACAGAACTCTTGAGGATTCTTCTAAGGGCAAATGAGAATTATTCTAATTTCATCTCACTCAAGATTCTCTAATTTATAATTCAAAGATAATATTTGTTTCCCCTAACCCTCCTGATTTAATGTTTGGGCTGTTTTTAAAGATTTGTCCTCTGAAGGAATTGATGAGGGGCCAAATATTCATTGTGATCCATACTTGCTGAGATCAGTCACACAAAAAAACAGACTCAAAATACCATCTAATCACATTTGTTGTACCCTTTTCAGTTTTTAAGAACATCTTTTTTGATAGATAAAGGACATGCACAACAGGAGCCAAGCAGTTCCAGTTCTCCTCCTATGTGAACACTGCACCATCTGCCTGTTCCTTCCTTGTTGCTTTTTCTTCCTCCAGCCTAAATATAGCTTTCAGAAAACATGTCTGGTGCTTCTGACACTTACTTTCTACCACCTATTCCTTCCAACACTACTTTCCTAACACCGTGGCATGTGAGGTTGTGCTGGTCAACCTGGCTCTCTGTTCTTCCCTGTCCTTGAACCATCAGCAAGCATTCCTTAGGAATACCTGGCTCTTTCAAGGTCTCTCACTTTCCTTCTTCACAAGTCACGTGGCTGTTAGAACACCTCTAGTCCTGGCCTATCTTTCCTGTGACTTGAACACTAATACTTTCCTCAGATCACTATGATGTTTCCAACTATACCAGACGCCCAACATGCCTTTTAAGAAAGTGGCAAGTCTTCCATGTCTTTATTAGTCTCCTATCACAAGCCACTTCCCTTCCTCACTGGTCAAAAGTACAGACAGAAACAATTCCACCAGCTGCTCCTCTGCCTGTCTACAGTACAGTTCACACTGATGGGCTGGTCTTGGTAGAATGTGACTGGGCAGACATCTGCATGGCTGAAATCTCACTACTCCAAAAGCAGTATTGTTTCTTTCATTTTATTCTCTTTTCCCGTAAATCTTGGAATTCTGCCCTGCCCTCAACTTAGTACTGAGGACTGAGCCTATGGGTGCTTTATCAATCCCCAGCCAGAGGCTGGGGATTGATTAGAGACAGGGAATCACTAATCAGCCCAAGCTGTCCTCRAACTTGCAATCATCCTACCTCAGCCTCCTAATTAGCTAGGATTACAAGTGTGTGAAATTTTCTTTTTGTTAATACGGGCATTTTATGCTTAAAGAAAGGACCAGGATATACATACATGACAGAGAAAAGGCAGAACTAAAAAAAGCTGGACATGTGTCATCACTGTGGAACCTCTAAGAAAATAAGCCCCAGGGAAAAAAAAAAAA